ATATCCTGAGGTCCATAGGGGGTCATATGACCCTACCTCCAGTTGACAAACATTAGTCTAGAGGATGAGAAATCTACCAAATGACATTTGTGTTGGTGTCCACAGACTGGGGGAAGAACAAGGCAGGAAGGAATGGGGGAAAATTGAGGATTAGGCCCTGTTGGCTCTGACAATCTAGGTTGGTACAGCGGTTTAGAATAGATTATGGGACCACACCGCTGGGATATCAAACCAGATAGAAAACATGATCAAATAGGTCATAAAGGTCAAGACAGCCGAAAGCACTGGCTCAGGAAACTGGGGATATTGGAGGTCTGTTGCAGAAGACAGAACCACTAAAAGCAGCTTATCCCACTATGAGAAGGTTGGCCTACTCAAGTGCTCTAGTGCTGGCCATGAGGGCTGGGCCCTACAGAGCTCTGATTAAGGATGCATGACGGACTCTCCATGTGGAGCTCTAAGAATGGGGTGTCACCAGAGTCAGAAGCAGAACGACATAGCTCATTAGAAAGGCTTAGGGATGGGTGGGGCCTCTGTACCTGGATATAAGATAGTCCTTGGCCCCAAACTTGGTAATTACACAGCCAAATACCTACTTGTCAAGACAGAAGTGGGATTACACCATCATAGACTGCACATGTATTACCCAGAGAAATCAACCAGGAGGGAGCCAGACTGACAGGGATCCAACTTTATCATTGAACACAAGAAATGTCAAGGATTCCCTCCCTCCCTCACCCCACCCCAACTCGGTGATGAACCATGGTGATTTCACTGTCCACAGACCCTGCACTGACTTCTATTACCCAGGGTTGAGGTGTCTGACAAATATGTTACTTAAAAGTTTATTCCTATATAGGATGAATGCACAAGTCTGAGCTATCATCCCTGCAGATACCCATAGAACTTACAGGCAGACCTGGAGGTTTGTTTCTTTTGGGGGTGGGGAGACCACAGAAGGCAAAGCACAGGGGTTACTCCTGGCTCATGCACTCAGGAACTACTCCTGGAAGTGCTTGGGGGACCATATGGGATGCTGGGACGAATCCCGGGCAGCTGGTGCAAGGCAAACACCCTACCCTCTGTGCTTTTGCTCCAATTCCTAGACCTGGAGGTTGTAATAAACAGGTAAGTCTGTTACCACTGGGAAGACTTTTGAGACTTTCTTTCACCAATGTCTATGCATGAAGATACAATGTAGGATACAGGCTTGAAAAAAGGTATCCTTGAATCCCATCTTTTGTTACTTTGAGGTAGGCGAGACCAAAACTCATCTTGATTCCTTCACAAATCCTAGACCTGACTCATAGGATGTCTACTCAGGGACCCCAAAGATTCAGGGTTTCCCCTGATGCCTTCCCCACTCTCAATCAATACCCACCCAAAATGTCTGTGAGAACCTTTTCCCTCAACACCAAGTTACTTCTTCTTCTTATTCTGTGCCCTCCAGGGTCAGTACCCATAACCCTATTTAAGTGACATTACTGATCATTTGTCCACTTGATCCTCTCTCACGAGCAGAAAGTACTTTGAACATAGGGGCCATTTGTTTACACGTTTAGACTGTGGGTTTTTTCATACAGAATGTTCTATGCAGTATATGTTCAATAATCATTGGAGGAAGGGTAGAAGGAATGAAGAAAGGAACAAAAGAAGGAAGGCAAAAGGAGAGAGGGATTGTACGGAAGGATGGGATGGACGGAGAAAGTTAGGTTAGGAAGAAAAATCAAGGCAAGCAAAGTGCAGTACTAGGCACTTCTAAACAGGATTCTGCCCAGCCTACCTGGGTAGACAAGACTGGCAGGGGAATTGGCCATGGCATTCAGAGGCTGCAGGAGTGTAATCCCCACTGCTCTAACTGGCAGAGAATCCCTCTTTCTTGGCCCCACTGGTGACTTAGCTTCCTGGAAAGCGAGCACATAGTTCAGTGCTGGCCACTATTCTGGAGGGCCCGCCAACACCGGCCTGAGCTGGCAATGCCCAGGGGTGCTCAATATCCTGGGGCTGGCCTTGTGGAGACCTTGTGGGGACCTGCCGCCCCCTTACCGCATGGCCTCTGAAGTCAAATATCTGATACTACAGTATTAGATCAAACACAGTCAACATTATGGGACTGGGGAGATGGGCTCAAAGGGTAAGAGCAAAGGGCTTTGCGGGGAGAGCCCTATGGTCCCCTGAGCACTACGGGGAGTCCCCCCCCAGGGCACTGTGCTGGAAGTAGACCCTGGACACTGCTAGTGTGATTCCCAAACAACAGTGGTCCACTATAGGTTTGGTGAATTGCTTTTATCGACTTGCCGTTTCTCATCTGATGCACAGCTGTGGAGCTGGGCCCTCATTCAGAAACCCCCAGTATAAAGCTTTGGAAAGTATTTCTTAATTTTCAGAACAGAGCACACCAGAGACAAAAATGACTGTGGCTGACAGTCTTGAGTACATGGACAAGGATTTATTTTTCTTCTTGGGGTCACACATGGCAATACACAGGGGTAACTCCTGGCTTTGCACTGAGGAATTACTCCTGGTGGTGCTTGGGAAACCATATAGGATGCTGGTAATTGAACCCAGGTCAGCCACTTGCAAGGCAAATGTCCTACCTGCTATACTATAGCTCCAGCCCCTGGATAAGAATGTTTAGGATGTCAGAACTTGACAACACAGATCTCACTTACCTTCCACTTTGTTCCATCTACCAGCACAAACCTGAAATTTTTGAGTCTATTTTTTTAATCTAGTTTTTGTTTTATGGGCCACACCCAGTAGTGCTCAGAACTCATTCCTGGGTTAGCACTTGGGATCAATCCTGGCAGGGGGTTGGGCAGGACCATATGGCACCCTGAGATTGAACTCGAGCAAGTGTCCTACCTGCTATACTACCACTCTGGCCCAGTTTATGGTCATTAGGGTTCCAAATCGGGAGTTAGAGCAGCTGTCCTTGACCATTCTTCAAAAAACTGGTCCTTAGGACTGGAGTACAGCATTAGTATGCCTTGGATGCAGCTGGCCCAGGTTCAGTCTCTGGCATCCCATAGGCTCTCCCAAGCACCTCCAGGAGAAATTCCTGAGTGCAGAGCCAGGAGTAACCCCTGAGCATAGCAGGGTTTATCCCTTTCTCAACTAATCCCCACCCCCTGGCAAAAAAAAAAAAAATCCAAACTGGTCTTGCCCATAGTGCAAGTTCTCCAGAGAAAGATCTTTGAAGCTTGCCAAACATACTCAGGTACAGCGTACAATCAGAGAATTTTTGAACCAGGAGGTATCTCGGGGGTGGGGGTGGGGAGCTCACACCTGGTGACACTTAGGACTTCTCCAGACTCTGTACTCAAAAAACATTCCTGGCAGGGCTCAGGGGACCATATAGGATGCTGGCGATGGAACTAGGTAGGATTCAAGGCAAGTGCCCTACCGGCTGTACTATGGTTCTGACCCCCTGGAAGTATCTTAATGGACTTGTCTAAACTCAGGGGCTAGGGAGTTAGCACAGCGCTCATCTGTGCACATGTGGGTGCCCAGTCGATTCCCTGAGCTGATGGCTCCCTGAACATCACCTGTAGACAGGCCTGGGGACCCCTAAGCCCCTGTGACACTGCAGGGCCTGAGCAGCACTCAAAACTCCGTCGTAACACTGAACCAACCGGCCCAGGTTGGGCCCAGTATCGCCGGGACTGCACCCCCAAAGACTGCTGAGAGCGCGGTTCCCAGTAATCCCCAAATCTCGAGGATGCCAATGCCCAGCTGGACTGGGTACCAGGCCCAGAGGGCGTGGCCCAGAGTGGCCGGGTGGGCGGGGCCGGCGCGATGCCGTCAGCTCAGGCTGAGACTCCGGCTGGAGCTACCCACACACGCACACACAGGAAAGGCGAAGTCTTGCATCACGTCGCCCAAGCTGTCTGAAGAAACCGACAGGGCCCCTAAAACAATAAAGCCTTTAAATTTCGGGCAGCCCGGGCAGGACGAATCCCCAAGCCTCACCAGCCCCCCAGAAAGCAGAGCATTGTCTGCATGCAGCCCTCGCGCTGAAAGGAAGCCTGTCCGCGGGCAGTGACCGCGTGAGACAACTTTGGGGAGAGCAAAGGGCCGGGAAGAGAAAGGCCTCATTCTCACTGCAAACAGGAAAAGGAAGGAGAAAAAGAGCGCTCTGTCTCCCCACAAGGTTAGCCGGGCTGGCAATGAACTGTTCCAGTGCGTTCCATCCAGCAGACGCCTCCAGAGCACGGAGCCAAGCGCGCACCGAGCTGGGGGTGGGGGTGGGGGGTGCCCCCGCCCGCACCACTTCGATGGACTTCACGAGGTGACGCCCGCTGACGTCTGTCCTCACCCTGCTATTTACGGGCTGCTCCGGCGTCCCGTGCCCTGCAACTGCCCTTACCTGCATGGATGGGGTCCCGCAGCCCCCAAGCATCCCGGGGGGGGCTGCGAGAGACTCAGTGCACCTCCCACACCCCTCTTTTGCTGGGGATCCCGGAGGGGGGCAGTTCCATGCAAAGGTCAGTGTGCATCTACCCATAGAGTCCCTCGGCTCCCCCCCTCTCAGTTTAACCTCCCTGCCCCCGTGCCCAGCCCTTCCCTTTCCTCCTCCCTCTCACGCAGCCCTGAGCATGACAACTCGGCAGCGAACGACTCTCTCTCGTCCACCACCAACTCCGGAAATTGAGGACAACTCTGAGAACCACCCTTTGCCCCGCTATCTGGCCTCCAGAACGAGGTCCCCCGGGGGAATGAGGGGGGACCGCAGAGTTAGGGAGCCGATTCCTCCTACCTGTTGCTGGCTTCTGGGTTCACTCGGAAGCCTGGTCCTTCTCCCCTGCGCACGGGCTGGGCTTAGGGCAGCAAAGGGGAGAGGCTTGGTTTGGAGAGCCAGAAGCGTCTGCAGACCCACGAGAGGCCAAGCCGCAGGCCGGGAGCCCGGAAGGTTGCAGGGCTCAGGCTGATCACTTCGGACAATGTGGGGGTGCCTTCCATTCAGCTTCTTCAGGGGTTAGGGTGCACTGAGCGCTGACAGGTCCTGCACCCAGCAAGGAGTCACAGCTGGGTCCTGTCCAGCCAGGGCCCGTCGCCCCAGCCCGGAGCTCTGCCACCTGTCAATCTTGACTTCATCCCTGGCAGACCAGTGGCACCCTGAAAACAGATGAGAGAGAGAAAGATGCGTTTCCCTGGCCTCTCCCTGCCGAACCCCGTTCGCCATTGCAGCACTGATTAAATACAGGACATTATCTCACCATAATGCCCTCCTGGCCGCATTCCCAGGAAAATTCTAACTAATCATAAAAATAGAAAGAAAAACGCAACCTAAATTCCATTCCTCGTCTTAAATGAGTGATGTGTTCACTTTTATTTATTTTTCTGGAAGTGAGGCGGGAAAAGAAAATGAATTTTAGGGCTTAGAAAAACAAGCTACTAATAGCACTAAGTAGATCTGGGCGGTGGCACAGGCCGAGGGGATGTCGCTGGCAGGGCCTGGGCGCATCCTGGCTCTTCTGTGCTGTCCTGGCTGTGAGCTGGGAGTCCCACAGTGGAGCACCTGGAGGGGCCACGCCAGGAGCGGTGTGCTTGTGTGTGTCAGGGACAAACCACTCTCCCCTCCCAAACTCAGTAATAGGAAGCAAACGGTCCCCCCACGCTCCCCTCAACCCTCCCCATCCCTAATCCCTGTCCAGCCCCGATCTTGTCCCATGCAAAGTTCTGAACTCTTCCTCACCGCAGTAATGTGGCTGGCACTCGTGCAAGTAACCTCTAGATCTAAACTCCACGTTGGCTGCAGATTCACTTCTTAAAATGCATCAGTTCAATCCACTGCAAGGGGTGAGTCATACCTGGTCCCTCCTGTCACTTTGCTAGTGGTCCCATCACGGGGCGGGGTGGGGGGGTTCCCCACACGAAAACCTCTGTTCCGCCCAAATCATGTCTTTTTTTTTTCTCTAGGAAGCCTTGTCAGATAAAAATTCCCAGGGGCAGTGCGGAACCCCTGAAAAGTGGCTTCTGGAAGGCACCTCTTAATGTTCCTCGGAAGAAAAAGAAAATAAAGACCCCAGCCCCCAGCCCCTCCGGCCTCCACCTGCCCCCCACTGCTGGCCCTGGATCCCGGGGGAGGGGGCTGCCAGCCCCCATCAGTGCTAGTGCAGCCGTAATGGGCACTGCGACGGGATGGCCGGGCTAATTAAGCACACTGAGCTAATAACCTTCCATTTTGGGACCAGTATTATTCATAATTTAATGTATTGCCGCTGAAACATTAACCTTTCGACAACTGGCATGCTGCCCACAGCAGCCCGAGTGCTGACCATCTTTCAGTAAAATGAGTATTATTGTTAAAACAGGTATAAATCATTCATGGCTGCAGCTTTTGTGTCAGCCCCTCCGTGAAAATAAGCAGTAAGCTGGGTAATTTATTTACCTTTTGGCGATTATTTTTTATGATTTTATGATCATATCCAATGATTCATAAACATTGGCCCGGTGCCATTTTGTAATCATTTCACATTTTAAATATGGTGTGGCTGTTCTGCTTTTCATCTTAAAAAATTTCAGGATTGATACCGGGCAACTTAATCCAGACCCAAATGTAATTTCATTTGAAAGGTTTTTGGGTGCGGGGGTGGGGGTGTGTGGACTTGAGCCTCAGCCTCATTCATTTTAACAAAACCATTTTCAACCCAGCCTTTGGGGTTTCCACTTGTTTCTGCACAGCACTTACTGCAGCAAACTTTCTTTGAAGTTTAACACACAGAGGGGGCCTTGAAATCCGAATAAAGGCTCAGGAAAACAGTTAACAAGCTTCTGGTTGGAAAGAGGATGGGAAGGGTGGAGGGAAGTCTGGGAAACTCTGGCCTGCAGCCAGCAAGGTTGCCCCACACCGGCTCCCTGGCCCCAGCCCCAGCTCCCCCCACCGCACCTGGAGAGTGTGACTCTCTCCTGGGGGACCTGGAAACTCAACCTCTCCTGCTGCCTGGCCTGGCGTGGGTTTCCAGGGAAGACCCAGAAGGAAGCGGTTCCTCCTTGGCAGGGGCTGGAGGTAGCGTGGGGCTGACAGGAATTCTCAGGGGCTCAGAGCTCGGGAGACTTCCCTGCTCTCTGAGCTGGGAAACACAGGATTTCTAGGAGGGTGGGGAAGCAGAAGCAGAAGAAGGCAGAGAATGTGAGGGGAGCCAGGTAGGGAAGCAGTTGTTTGCTTCTAGAACATTCTCTCATGTCAGGATGAGGGTACCAAGGAAGATAGGCGCCAAGGTGCCAATGTGGGAGGGGAGGCCATGACAGGCAGTGTTGGGTCTGTGTGACACAAGTAGTCACGTCCCCGGGGGCAGCCCAGGCAAGAGAATGACTTGGGGGGGGGGGGTGTGTGGATGAGGTTGCCCTGTGATAGCCACTTCTTTTCTTTGAATCTTCAGGTGACTGGATTTCCCACTTAGGGACTTCATAGGCTTTAACAAAATCTTTTGTTTTTTTTGCTTTTTGGGTCACACCTCGTGATATACAGGGGTTACTCCTGGCTCTGCACTCAGGAATTACCCCTGGTGGTACTCAGGGGACCATATGAGATACTGGGAATCGAACTTGGGTCAGCCACGTGCAAGGCAAATGCCCTACTTGCTGTGCTATTGCTCCTGCCCTAACAAAATCTTATTGCATGGTTTCAGGTTCCCTTCGGAGTCAGATAAGCAGTGGATCCTTAGTAAAATGGGTCAGAGCTAACTTGGGCCACTAGTTCATGGATTTCTTGTGAACCAAGTCCATTTTCATTACAGTACAAGGCAGGTCTGTCAATATGTTTGCTCTTCTGTGTAACTTTCTGAAGAATGTGTTCTTACCTCTGGCTTACTTTATTGTAGGACAATAGCACAGATCAAACAAAATAGGTGTTAAATGACTATGCCAGCAATAAGGCATTCAATCAATAGCAGAAGCTTTGTAGTTAAAGGGTTTTTTTGTTTGTTTGTTTTGTGTTTTTGGGTCACACCCAGCGATGCTTAGAGGTTATTCCTGGCTCTGCACTCAGGAATTACTTCTGGTGGTGCTTGGGGGACCCTATGGGATGCCAGGAATTGAACCTGGGTCGGCTGCAAGCAAGGCAAATGCTTTCCCTGCTGTACTATCGCTCCAGCCCAGTAACTAAGTTTTAAAAAGTGCAAAGAATAATGGTTTCTTGATTGTGTTCTCAAACCATGTGTTATTTAAGGGTCACTTAAATATATATTAAAATACATTTTTCCTCTTTCATTGTGGTAAGATATCCATGACATAAAGTTGTCATTTCAACCATTTCAGTTATACCATTTCATGTTGTACGTCACCTTTGCATTGCTATGGGATCACTACTTCTAAAGGTTTGCATCATCCCTAGCAGAAACTCTGCACCCTGTAATCATTAACTCCAACACCCTTTTGGCTCCAGTCCCTGGAAAATACTAATCATTTTTGTTTGTGTGTTCTTGTTTTTATCAATTCAGTGATTCTGAATTTTTCCATCTGCACATTTCTCACTATGCTTATTTCATGAGGCATAATGTTTCCTGGGTCCATCCATGTGATATTACATGTCAAAACTTTACTCCTCTTAAGGGCTGAATAGTATTCTACTATAGGGATATATCACATTTGTTGAACAAGTTGTCTGTTGATGGACACCTGGGTTCTGTTTCTTTTTTGGCTACTAGGACTAATGCCTCTATGAGCATTGCTAGACAAGAATCTGAGTCCCCAGTATAAAGAGACTGATGTTGTTCACATATTATCAAACTTTTTCCCATGCAAGCCCATGGCACCTTATTATAAATACCATGCTTTCCAGCTTGGCAGAGCTGTCCACAGCATAAGTGGCAAAATCATTCATGCCTGGGAACTACTTTCCAGTCATCTAGCCAACATGGCCACGTCAGAGAGCTGACTGTTGTCCCCTTTCAGCATCGCTGTGGGTTGTAATTCTCCACCAGAAGCTTCTGTTCCATACCATGGACTTGATAAAAATAAGCTGATTCTCAGGTATGATAAAGAACAAATTAAGAAACAGAATAACCTGGCATGAGAGAAATTCCCTTTCAATCATGTCAGCCCGCGCAGATGTTGTCATGAAATTTGATGTTATGGATTTAATTCCTAATATAAAGTCTAAAAGAGAAAACAGCATAAGAGCTGAAATGTGAATTGGACATGTCTATAGAGTGTGAATTGGATTCAAGACAAAATATTGTGAATGGTTAATAGGGTCAGTCTAAGTATACTTGCTGAAATCATCTCTTGGATATGCAAATATTCTGAGAACTACACTGTCAAATATCTATTGTATCCTCTTATCTATGTGTTCGCAGAACTGCTACATGTTGTAACAAATGAAAAATGTGAATTTAAAAAATAATGTCACCCTAAAATAATACTTTACTTTGAATAGTCATTTTTGTTGTTGGAGTTCTTAAATTTTTTTTTAAAAAACAATTTTTGTCACATACTAGACAGCCAGGTTCTTAAATCAGCATTACTTGGAAATATTAAGGGGTGATCTATGTGTTCTGTTCTCAGCAAGCATAGAAGTGGAATGGGGGGATTGGCCGGGGGGGCTGAAATGAAGTCAGGGGCACTCAGCCTGTCATCTGTACCCGTTTTTTCTCGGTAGTACCCCCAGTGAGGCACCTACTTCCGCTTGATGGTCCACCTCAGTGGAATTTCTTTTCTGGGACACACTGCCCTGGGGGATTTGAGATTCTGCTTACGATTCCACTAACCTGTCATCTTCACCATCAGCCCACTCTACATGAGGATGTGGTGGGGAGTGGGATCAAGTCAATGGACACGCAGGGGCCAAGAGTGTAGATAAGCAAAGAGCATCTGCATTGCATGTATGGGGCTCTGGGTTCAAACCCAGAGCTGAAAATCCAGCAACAACAAAACAAAACAAAAAGCCTCCCACTGATGAAGGGTGCATTTTAATTAGTACTTTTTGCTCTCCTTTTGCTGATTCCTGAGAAGTGAGCTAAGGCACGGATAAAGAATAAAAGGTTGATAGCAAATGAATGACCAGTACATGCTACCCATATTCTAGACCATTTCCTGCTGTGTGATAGGTTCTCGGAAAAAGATCACCCCCAACACAAGCTGAGTCTCAGATGCCCGTTTGCTTACTGGTCTGA